AGATTATTGTATACACAAAGATGGAAAGATTTGATACTACCCACTGTGGAGGAATGGTTGGTAAAATTGACAGATCTTGCTGAGATGGATAAATTAACTTCTTTGATTAGAGAAATGACACTACATTTATTGGTGACTGGAAACCTCTTATGGACTTTTTGTGTAAAAATGAAAAAAAGTATGGCTTTGATGATTAGGCAGGATAGATTATAGAAGGAAGAGTATTAGGATGTAACTTTAGAGAAACAGCTTATAATTGTACTTATAACTGCTGTGAAGAATATTGGAAGCCACTTCTTTGTATCTTTCTTCCCTTTTCTATTTTTCAACTTTTCTTTTATTGCACGTTTTGCTTTCTCTGCTTTTGCTTTTTTCTTCCTTCTTTATATTACTTTGTATTAGTTTTTATCTTCTTTTTTAAAGCTTCAAGAAAAATTATATTAAACAAATGAAGATTAACACCTGATCAAGCTTTCTATTTAGTTGCATCTTTATCATTTCAAGGATTGATTGATGTTATTACAGCAATGTAAAGTAGTAAACCTCCTGGTTCAGACTGTGTTTTGTTCCTATACTGTTGAAGCTTTATTATGATGCTTTGTTGAATAAATTAGTTCCTTCTTAATTTTATGATGCTGTCAGTAATTCATCTACCACAATCTGGTTTTACACAAGGCCATCAAGCATCATTTGAGTTTATTAACTGATATATTAGATATTAAGTCAGATAAATTGGATTTGGCAGTGAATGTGAAAAGAGTCTGTGACGTGGTGCAATTTAAATGTCTGAAATGCTCCTTGCCTAAATATGGATTTCATTATATTTTTATTATTTGGATTAAAATTAAAACATGGCATTCTAATCTATCAGACAGAGTAATTGCAAACTGAATTATTTGTTTACCCATCATGATGTTTCATGGAACTTGTCAAAGATGTCCATTATCCCCTCTTTTATTAATTTGACTTCAGAAACATTGGCCTGTTTAATTCCAAATTTGAAGAGGTACAAATTTTTAAATTGTTTGTCTTTGATTGTTATTGATACCAGTAGATGGTTACAAATGCCTATGACACTTTGGGAAGGATTAATATTGTTAAGATGAATGTCACTACAAATGACAGGCTCTATGTTAATACCTGTTAAGGTGTATAGATAGATTGATAATATATTGTAATGGTATGCACAAATGACCTTGGGAGAGAGAGCGGAGGAAGAGCCACAGACCAGACAACTGTCATGCAAAAGGTATCTCAGTCCACAGAAGGGGCGTGGAAAGCATCTCAGAAGGGACCCTCCTTAGTTTTCCAGAGAGTAAAAGGAAAGGAGGGGAGAAATACTTTCAGATGTGCAAGATTCCGCTAATGTAGCCTTACAATAAGGATAGAGCTAGTACTCCTGGTTGTACTTATCTCGACGACCTCAAAGGGCTAACATCAACCTTGTTTTATGAAAATCATTATCTGGAGTTTTCAAACCTTAAATAAGGCAATCCAAACTTGGGGCAGCAGCAGTACAATAATTTTGCAGAGTTACAATAATTCTGCAAAGTAATCTAGTATTGACAGACACAACTGAGAGGGTTATCCATAGTCATTATCTACCAACTCCAATAAATGCTTCAGTCCCAGTTCCAGTGATTTGCAAAGGAATCTGAACTGGCTATCACTGGAAACTCAATTGGCCAGAACAATTTCTGTTTTTTGATAGGATTTTATTTACTCCTGGAAAACCTCTATGAAAATTACATGCATCACAGAGATAAAGGACAGGTGCCTTTAATAACTACACTTAAAGAAAAAAAGATAAATAGATCTTTTTCTCCAATATTAGTAGAAGAGGTCATATGCACTGAACCAGCGAATTGGCCAGAAAACAAACTATTGAGGAATAAATACATGTTGCCTGGAAGAAGGGGGAACCTTGTTTTTCCTGTTACCAGGAAACACACCCCTTGTCAAGAAAGCTGTTGCATCAATGGAAAAACTAGTAACATCACCATGCATTTAACAGGCAGAAAAATAGGCAGGTTGATCTGCTGAGCCTTGAGGAAACAGCAAATGATATTGCTGCTTCAATAGTACACTTCATTTGCATACACGTTTGCAAACCATGTTTGATTTCAAAGGCATGTAAAACTCAATGGCACACCTGAAAAGCAAGGTGTTGGAAAACCTTTATCACGATTATGAGGTTGATAAGAGATGCACTGTAACCCTTCCAAGATATGGGATGGGAAAGGGTTCTCTATACCTGAAGGGACTCAAGAAAAGTCAGTTTGCCAGTCCTACCACAATACATACCCAAATCCCACATTTTTCAATGGAGTTTATTTTCAAGCACCCATACATAAGAGTGCTTATCTCTATTTTCTTGGAAGTACATTCCACTTTACTGAGTGCTGTTCATTCCAAATAAAAGGCTGTAGGAAACTGGATATGAGGAAGCCTCCACAAGGGCTTACTAAATGCAAGGTCCTCTTCAAAATAATGACTGTAGTTCAAATCGGCAGTAGCCTGTCAAAACCCCGCACACATTGGAGAGCTACTCTTCTTCCAAGGTTGTCCATGAGTCTTTTCTTCTCCCCTGTGATCAGTTCCTTTTTGATGGACAAAATCAGTATTACCTGATGCAATGCTTCAAAGTCTGCTAATTCTAACTCCAATATCAAGTGACAGCCGTTAATAGGCAGTCTGCTCCCTTCAAAACTGTAGCAACTTTAGTCACTATAATTCAAGTATCTAAATAATATTGGGCTAGAGTGGGTAATTTTTTTTCCTTATAGGGTTGTGCTTTTGACAGCTTCATCACAGGAAAAAATCTAGAAGGTGGAAGTTTTCCCATCATTGCACTCACCTGGTGGTAACACTTTCATCTGATGAACTTTTGCAGGCCACAGCAGTGTTAGAAACACAAAGTTTACTTGTCAGCAAAAAAGTGGCTATAAATTAACCTCAAGTCACTAAAAACTGGATGTTGGAATAATGTAAAAGCAAAAATGTTCTGTTTAGCATGATGTATACATAAGAGGAATTAAATAAGGCATACTCTGAATATATTAGGGACCACCATTTTGATTATAGTAACATTTCAGGTATTGTTGATTTCAAGACATCTTACAGTAGAGGAAAACAAGGAATAATCCATATTGTATCTATTTTGGAACAGGCTGGTTAGGGGTTTTTTTGATACCTGGAAGAGATATTTTGTCCCAGAAAAATGGAAAAACAAAAATCATGGCTCACCTCATGTTGTACATGTGCATAATAATTGTTACACAAGTCCACCAATAATGTAATATATGAAGCAATCACATACCAAGCTATAAATGACTACAGACTATTGTCTACAATGACTTTCTCCCTCTTGATGTTCTTCACACATGTTGAGGCTACAATGCAAAGGATGGCAGGAAATTCTGAGCGTCATAGTTCCAACACATCTAAAGATTAGTCTGCCCAAAGTTCTTTGAGAGACATTGCTTAGCTTTGCTAATGAAGATCGCTGACACTGCAGATGTGGGAGAGAATGAGAGTGGATCCTTCAGCGACTGATAATTAATTACTCACCCACTAGACAAGAAGAAATTGCATTAGCCTTTAAGTATTATTTTAGAATTTTACAATGGAATTCTATTCACATTTACTCAGTAACACATCTAACTGCATTCAGCTGGCATCATTCCCAAATTGCTGTTCAGAGGATTATCTGGGAATAAGTCGCATTCAGTGGAATTCAGTCGGTTTTACTTGAATAAACATATATAGGACTTTCCTGTTATCCTTCATTTAGTTCTCGGGGAAGCTCCTCTTCACAAATAATATTCACTGATTATAAACATGAGGTTGTCAAGGAGGCTCAAGAAATCAACCAGCTAATTCTGATAAATGTCCTCCCTTTTCAGATACTAGTATTAGCTATAGGTATGGTTGCTACATCACTATCAATTATGTTACCTCGCCCAAAGTATCAGGAAATGATGTCTACCATGTCTACCTATCACAGTGTTCTATTTCAGGGTAAATAATATGACTTAAAGTTCAGAAAAGGAGCAAGAAATAGTAACCAAATAAAAACAAGTGATAAGTTTTTTTCTTGACAAGTCACTATACCATTCCAGGCTTTCTATCTTTGCAAACCATCCTTATTTCTGTCAATTCACTCATGTATCACCTTTGTCCTTAAACTTTTCATGAGGATCTTATCACCAACAATGTATTTCTCAGACATTCCCTTCCTGTCAACTTATTCATTCCTTCACATATTGAAGTTCAAACCCCATTCAGTGTCTCTATATGACCAAACCACTCAATATACTTCTTTCACATGAACACTGTAGAACTGTATTAGTCTATAGTGGCAAAAAATCAGGAGGAGTCCCATAACACCCTTTCTGATTAACAAATGTTATTAAAAGGCATAAGGTTTCATGAGCTGCGGTTTACTTCATCAGAAACTTAAGAGTGGCTAGACTGATGTAGGATTTAAATTAGGGTGAGATAGGGAGGGGTAGGCAGGTTGATTATACAGAAGCAAATTGTACAGCTTACTAATACCTTATTAGTTAATAATTGCACTATGTTAAAAACCCATTGTGTTTGTTGTCTCTTGTCCCAACCTGTCTTCCCTTCCCTTCCCCACCCTAGTTTAAATCCTACATCAGTCTTGCCACTCTATGCATCAGATGAAATGAGCTCTAGCTCATAAAGCTTATTCTTGTTAATAAAAATTGTCAGTTGGAAAAGGTGTGACCAGACTCCATCTGAATTCTTTCATAAGGGTCACTTTCTTTTCAATCTATTTATTTGCCATTCATATTTGCCAAATATCGCCCAATGTTTTATTCTACCCAGAACTGAATGCATTCTTTGACTATGGTTAGACTTCTTGCTAAGACATGGTTTGCTTAGCCATGATTTCTTTAAAAAAAAACCCCACAATTATTTGGATTTGTAAAACACAATAAGCTATCATTTCAAACCATAATAGCTGAATTCACTCAATACCCTAAACCAGGCAAAATACATGATGGCTTAATCTGCTGTGTGAACCAGCCCTTTTATTTATACTGTGTGATTGCAGAAACTGGCCAGGTGTAAAAGACGGTAAAGTTTCTAATAATTTAGGGGAGAGAGTTAGCATTGGATTTGCAAGGAACCATTAATAAACATTTGACATTTTTATAAGCATGCAAGGTGGAATAGTATTTATAATGGTTAGAAAACAAGGCCCCATTCTTTGCTCCTTCCCATGAACAGCAAAAACAAAATAAAATATGAAAGAGAGGCAAATTTGCTATTAACGCGTATAAGTTTTACAGGTTGCAGAATTTAGCTTCTGTTGGCATGAAATGTGGATTACAGCAGCAGAGAAATTTTGATTTATTTAATACACATAGGCCTATTCTTGTGATGAAACATTTTAAAGAGGCTAGCTGAATGCTGTCTGCTCCTTTCTCTTATGAAATTCCAAGAGGATGAGAATTGAGAGGTAGAAGAGGGCCCATTTCAAGACACTTAGCCGGGGACCTCAATAGGATCTGTATTTCATTTAGACTGTTGGGGGGATCAATCAGGCTATACACATACTGTATTAAACAATCAATCACAGAGACAGGAGATAGCCAATATCAGTCTGGATTCCGGGCACCCCGAACATATATCTATACTGAACATTAGGCACAATTCAAGAGCAAAGCTACCCAATTACTAAAGCCATTTCAGTGAGAAGAATGTATATGATTAGCCTGACCACTAGAAGTCCAGTAGCAGCTTTAAAAAACAAACAAAAACAAAAAAAGAGATTCACATAGAAAAATGCAGCACTGTATTCCACAAAGCACTTCCTATTTTGCATTTGTTCAAAATAGATTAAGCTTCTCTCCTGACAGCTGCTGATCACTGGGACAGGAAAAAGAATGGCATCAAATCCAACAGTTTGGGTGAATCTCTGACATCAGAAAAACTTTTGTATTAACTATATACACCAGCCTTCTATCTGGCAACTTCCAAAATATTTTGGACTTCAATACAAGGCTGTGCTGACTTAAGGGACTTGCAGAAATTAAAACACACACCTGGACATCACCAGGTAAGAGTAAGTCACTGTATATTTCTTGGACACCACTTTAAAAGACAGTACTTTGAGGAGGTATTTTAAAAACAACTTAAACACAGAAAAAAACTTCACAAGATCCATGAAGCGGTCCCTACAAAATAGTATCTATCTATCAAATACCTATCCCATCCCACCCTATATCACATGGTTCATCTTCCTTCACATCTGGACTTCATTACAGTGTGTGCTGTCTCAATGGAGCATCTCCATATCATTGAGTATACTTGGCAGGGACATTGACATGTCAGGACACAAGGTAAGTGTTACCAGAAGGCCTGCATTTTCTTAAAAGCTTTATTTATGCCCTAAAGATGTTGTACAGACATGGATCTGGTTCTTTCTCCTCTGTGCAACAGTGTTGCTGGATAGTAATTCCACTGAAGTCCAGTCTCTAAACTGGATTACCATGAGTGGCAGAATGTTAAGAGAGGTGATCACCTTTACAAATGTCTGTGCACTGAAAAAGGCAAATGCAGTTATAAATAGTAGATTAGTGAAGTCAGAAAAATATGCACAGCTCACTTTGACCTAGCATTGTAAAGAGGAAAAGAGCATTAAGCACAAATGAGTAACCAATTCACTGAGCTAAGTAGTACATATTATGTTAATGCCTTTTCTCTGTTGTTGCAGTTACAAAAATGCATACCTTCATTTTTTTATATCAAATAGTGGACCTGTGAAACCTGTAAAAGGTATTTTGGAAGTACCTGTTTCCAGAGCTACATATTTTAAAATAAAATAAACCACAAAAGTTTTTGTTTGTATATGTGTATGCCTGCATATAGGCATATCTAATTTCAGCATCAATACTAGTACTAAGTTTGTCTCATCTAAATACAGACTAGTAATACTTCCTATTCCAACACATGCACCTATGAACACATGATCATGCACACAGCATGTCTTCCTGCTGTTTGTGGGTAAGTCAGAATATACAGAATTATACATTATTTAATTTTTAAAAAATGTATGGAGGAGACGAACCTTAGCGTGTCATTTAAAGGAAAATTTGCCATGAGCTATAAATATCTATATATATGCGTGATGGGAGGGGTGTCCTTCTCTCATCGATAAAAACACTGAAGACTGGAAGGCTGATCAACATCATTTCTCCAGCATGTCAAAAAGTGAGGTTATTGACCAATATGCACTTGCATAGAACTGGTTGTGGTCATGGAAAAGAAAGGTTTACCACTGCTAGTATGAAGCTTTCACAAAACCACTAAACCTAGCTTCACTGAGATCTCTTAGCAAAAGTTCAAGGGAGTTCCTTCAGAGTTATTCTTCTCATAGCAGGTGGCGCTGACAGCAATCCAGAAGCCCATACAAAATTCAAGCATCTGCTGGTCATGCTGGCCAAGATGCACCATTCCTATTTAGCCAGTTTAGGAGCCTCCAATGCAGATGTGATCACCTGAGTGAAAAAGATAAAATAACACCTCAGAAACATTGATCGAACAGCACTAGAACTGTTATCAGCTCCGCTGACCAGCCCTACAACAAATAATACAAAAAATAAGTAGATGCAAAACATTCCAGAAGCTTTCATGTAGGATTAAATGACCTTGTCTTTATATGCAGCCAATGCATGTTAAAGAATATTTCTCCAAGCAGATTACGGAGTGAACTATTGTTTGATTGTTTTATTACTGCACCGCTCTCTCAGCAAGAAGTTGTAAACAAGAGAGACAAGCAAACATTTAAAGGAAGACTGATTCAACGACTATCCAGCTAGTTAGAATTAGAGGGGGGCAATTCTCATCCCATTTCTGACTGAGAACATGGCAGGATATACTGTATGGTAACACCAGAAATTAATCTGAATCCGAAAGGCCTTTTCTGATGCAGGCTAAAATGAAAAGGTCTGGAAACCTTCAAAGAGCATGGCCCAAATGACACTGTCAGCAGCTCTGGAGATAAAAAAGAGAACCAATACCTGATCCTCCCCCATCCATACTGGATTCAACGTCAGGGCAGCACAATTCCCCACCTCCATCCAGAGGCTATAGAGAGATTAGGCCTTCAACAATTAAAAAAAAATCAAACTAAAGCTGGGGTAAATTGTCTGTGCACATAGGTACGAGCCTGATCTCCATGCTTCTGAACTGAAAGTACTTTGAATACAGGTAGTCTTCAAATAGGTAGGGCCATTCATTCAGCGACCGTTTGAAGTTACAGCGTCACCAATGCCCAGTCCCCAAAGTCAGGGCTGTTGCAGTGCTCCAGTGGTCACGTGATCAAAATTCAGGTGCTTAGCAGCCCGCCCACATTTACGACTGCAGGGGTGCTTCAACTCCTCCCACTCATCTATCTCCCTCTTCCCATCTCTGCCCTTTTGGCCACCCTTCACAGAGGCACTGGCAGCGCTGGAGCTGAAGTAAAGGCCTGGAGCCTTTTGCAGTCCCAGCTGGCTGCCACCATCCCCAGGATTCTACTACAGCCCCAGCACCTCTGCTGCAGCTGAGGAATACCACCTCAAGCCCATAGCACTCCATTCTCCAAACAGCACGCACCATTCTTGCAATGTTTCAGAAGGCTTCTGAGGCATTCTAAAACCTTGCAAGAAGGCTGTGCCTGCTGTTCTCCAAACTGCGTGTGCCATTCTTACAATGCTTTGAAAGGCCTGAAAAGCTTTCTGAAGCATTGTGAGAATGGCACATGCTATTTGGAGAACAGCATGACTGGCCTCAAGAAGAAGGCCTGGCGTGGCCAGCAGCTGCCTCACATAGGGCCAGGCCGGGTGCACCTCATCAGTGGGAGGAAGATGGCGTAGGTCAGCTGGAGGTGGCAGGGCTGGAGGTGGCAGGGCATCAAGGCTAACAGGGCCAGCGGAGAGCAGAGTGGCAAAGCCAGCAGGGCCAGTGGAGTGCAGGGGACTAAGGTCAGCATGCTGGCAGGGCCAGCAGAGTGCAGGGGGGCAAGGCCAGCAGGGTAAATGGAGTGCAAGGCGGCAAGGCCAGCAGGACCGGTGGAGCGCAGGGCAGCAAGGCTGGCAGAGGCAGCGGAGTGCAAGGCGGCCAGAAGGGCAGAAATGGGGGGAGACAGGTGGATGGGGGGAGTTGAAATGGAGGCAAGGGACTGGGAGGGACCAAGCCGGGAGTGGCTTGGATTGGGGTGGGCCCTCGCCTAACAACCGGAGGGATTTGGTTAACAATGGCAACAAAAAGTGCCAGGATTGCTGTCGCTAAGTGATGAGTCCCGTAACATCGCGCCTTACGACCACACCACTTAGTGATGGAAATTCTGGTCCCAATTACCATCGTAACTCAAGGACTACCTGTACTGACAGGAATTCTAAACTATCTGTTTAGTTCAGCCTGTTTCCTTGTACCCTGTTGGATGTTGTCTTCTACCTTGGTTTATATTTCTTTTTGAGCAGCCAAGCATGCTTCAGAACAGCACTGGGCTCCTCTGGTGGCTGATATTTTCCTCATCTTATGGTCTGGCTCTGTGAAAACCCAGAGTTTATAAATTGTGTGACAGCATTTCTATTTCTAAGGCGGCTTGATAAGTCCTATCTGGGACCCAGATACATTCCTGTAAATAAAGTTGACACTATTGCCAATATTGTGTAATTGCTTTGCTTTTTAATATGCCACCTTTCCTTTTTTTAATACCAAACTTTTTGAAAAATTAGTCACTTGATTACTTAGCCTGATAGGTCTCAAAAGAGGTCTTTGTGGGCATTGATGTACTATGTTACCACATTCAATCTGACATGTATTTGGTGTCTAAATCTTCTAATTTTTTTAAGCAGTGTGGTATAGTGTGTTACATTAGGATCCAAGAAACAAAAGTTGTGTGACGTAGCTACTAAAAAGGCAAATGCTATCCTGGGGTCCACTAACGGGAGCACAGAGGTCAGCTCACAGGAAGTCATAGTTCCACTCTACTGTGCTCTGGTCAGACCCCATTTGGAATACTGTCTCCCGTTCTGACATAGCACCAGAACAGGGCAATGAGAAATTGAAGCAAGATATTGAAGAACCTGGAAACCAAGCCTTATGAGGAATAGTTATGGTATGTTTGGCTTACAGAAAAGATAAGCAAGGGAAGATATGACAGCAGTCTTCAAATATCTGAGAGGCTGTTACACAGAAAACACCAGGACCAGAACTAGTGAGTTAAAGCTTTGAGAAAGCAAGCTTTTGCTGGACATCAGGAGAAACTTAACTCTACAAGCTATCAACCAGTGGAACAGGCTGTTACATGAGATGGTGAATTCCCCTTTGCTAGAGGTCTTCAGAGGCTGGATGGTCATCTGTCAGAAATTCCCTAGTAGATCCTGCATCAAGCCAGAGATTGGATTGGATTACCCATGAGGTGCCTTCTAGTTCTGTGTTTCTAAAAAACCCCATTTCATCATGAATGTTCACTGGATATCTTTTAGCCACTTTCAACCTCTTCAGAAGGAAAAGTGGAATAAAAATCTATTCTTATTGCTATTCTTTGTGCTGCATTTTTATTCAAAAGGCAAACCATTAACTAAACTAATAATATTATTTTCGTACTTGTGTAAGTCTCTCTTATTGCATATGTGAAATACAGTGGTATCTCTACTTACGAACTTAATCCGTTCCATGACTCTGATCGCAAGTCGAGTTGGTCCCAAGTCGAAGTAAATTTTCCCATAAGGTTCAATGTAATTACCGTTAATCTGTTCCAGCGTCCGCAGACCACGCATCAGGGGCGGAAAAACGGCCACTGACCACGCGGCAGGGTGGAAAAAATGGCCGTGGACCACGTGTCAGGGGCGGAAAAACGGCCGCGGGCCACGTGGAACAGGCGGGAAAATGGCCGCGGACCACGTGGAACAGGCGGGAAATGGCCGTGGAGCCCGTGGAACGGGTGGAAAAATGGCCACGGACCACGTGGAACGGGCGGAAAATGGCTCGTAAGTCAAGGCGAATTCATAAGTAGAGGTAAATTTTTGGGGCCAGAGCTGATCGTATCTCGAAAATTTCATAAGTAGGGGCATTCGTAAGTAGAGGTACCACTGTATATACACACACATGCACACCCATATATAATAGGTTACAGGTTGACTCTTGGATTATCATCAGTGAAACACCCATGCACTCACAATATTCTCACTTCTTAGAACTTCTGGATATTTTGCAACTCTCAAAGGATGTACTTTCCTTCACATGGATTTCCTTCATTTTTTGTGTCCTTGCTTTTCTTTTCTTGGTGAAAACTTTATATTTCTGGTGAACAGCGATGACCTGGTAAGTCACACCACACTGAAGCTGAGATATGCAGACTGCTGTTGTGCCTTGCTATATACACAGCCTTATTTTCAAAAGATACTCATCTATTACTCTTCTTTGCCTTCTGGTAATGCTGGAAAGAAACAATTACAAAAAAAGAACAATTAGATTTTATAAGTTCAAAAAAAGAGCAAAGTTGGACAACAAAGTTTGAAATCATTGATGGACTGAATAATTTGTGACATATCTTCTGTAAATGCTGTAAACCAAATGTTTCTGGCATTATTTTCAGAGAATAAGCCATGTAATTCTAATATGCTGGCTATGTTTTAAACCTACAATATATCAGTGCTGGAATAAGATCTGAAAAGCATCCACTAAGCCTACATGTCCAACAAACTTTCCTTCACCTCAACAATCTCTTAGAAACTTGCAGACACTGCACAGGAAATTTCCATGGGATAGCAAAATTGGCTTGTTCATATCTGACTTTCCAAAGAATACAATTTATGGATTTCCTGGAGCTAAAATTTGACTATTTATACATATGAATAGGTCACTGATTTTGTCCAAAATGCTCAAACAGAGAGAGTGCACAGTTCCAACATTATATTGGATAAATTCTATAAAGAATCTCAACCTCTTCTTCATCGCTCTTCCCTCATATAATGTTTTCCTCAACTGCATTTCTATACATATAACCAGAGCACACACACCCTTGTCTAAGGAATCCTGGTAGATGCATAAATGTGAGGGTGTGTACTTATATGAAGATTTGTCCTCTTCTGAACTCAGACATCTGTAGGCTGAAGCCATACCCTACTCAATTCCTTGGGCAACCAGAGTGTGCTTCTGTAGTTGATTCTGGAGATGGTAAATGCTTTTTTGGGATTTACCATCCACTTGAGAAGGGACCATCTCTTGATCCAACTATGTTAGACAAATATCTCCAATCTTCCCATTTTAGAGCAGGTTTTGGAGAAGATGGAAGGGTATTAGTTGTAGGCTATCCTAGATGAAAAACATTATCTGGATTCCTTTCAGTCAAGGTTCAGACCTGGACACTGGATGGGTGCCATACTGGTTGCTCTAGTAGATTACTTTGTATTTTTATGGCTGTAAACTCCTGAGATTGTTTTAAAGCTGGCAATACACATCAAGGAAGGAAGGAAAGGAAAGATCATTTCCCTTTTTCCTATAAAACAATTTCTTTGAAAAAAAATGACATATAGAATTAGATTTTTAATTTAGGTCCCATTTTCTGCACAAAACTATACATACAATTCCACAGAAGGCAACTAGTAAAAGCGTCAGGCAGTTTGTCATAAACCCGATAGATATTATAACAGCAGGTAACAAACATGGATAAGACAACTCTCAATCAGATCTTGGGGGGTTGGGGAAGGGTGGAAGGATTTGCAGCATCCCAATCACACAACTATGTCAGCTTTGAGTATACATTATAACCCTCAGTTTGTGGGTAGAAAGTGTATAAAAATAATATGCTGTCAACAGATTCAGTTCAGGGATGTGACTGGCTGGCTAACTGGCCAAACATTTTGAGAGCTGAATCCAATATATCTGGAAGGCATTAGGCTGGGGAAAACCACATTAATCATTCTTTTAGAAACAAAACAAAACAAAACAAAACAGTCCCCTTAGACCATTATGGAAAGGAAAACAAGAGAGATTCAGATGATTTTTCTGTTTCATTTTGAAAATATTCTATCCTTCTTTAAGAAGACAGATTTAAAATAAAAATAAATTATAAACCTACCTTTAAGCATGTGAAGAATCCCTTCAGAAACATTTCAATCCAAACATAAAGTAGTAGGAAAGGCATGGAGCATGGGCTTCCAGTTCTGGAAAAGACAGGGCCTTCAGAGAAAAGGAAGTTACCAGCTTTTCCACTCGGAAAATCTAATCTAATCCTATCATATCAACTCTGCAATGCTCTACAAAAAGGGGGAAAAATTATAACATTGTCCCAGCAGCTGATTTCCATGTAATCTGGGTACACAGAGAAGGAATTCAAAGTATCTTTCAATAAACTCCTGTAAATATATGTTATTTTAACTTCATATTCAAAATATTTTAACTTTTATACTTAAACCTACTCTGTATCATTTCCAGAAGTAATGTGACACTGGTAATGGCCCTTCATATTTTTTAAAGAGCCATTCGTACATATGAACTTATTCAATTCTTTTTTTTTAATAGAGAAGAACATCTATCAAATATCATTGAACTCCAATAGGCAAAATACTAACTTATCAAGCTTGCAAAATTATATTAATATTTATGTGCATAAATTCTATGTATGGCTAGAATAGAGGGATTCCACCTAATTATCATTTGGAGGAGGGATTATTTAAAAATGAGGGGCAACTCTGACCATGTAAGAACCATATTTTAAATCTCCAAGACCACTACCAGCTCTATCAACAGAATTTAAACAGCTGGGTTAATGCATAAAAACAAAATTGCTTTGATTTCTACATATTCTAGAACACTTGTTTTCAAATAGAATTCTACCTTGTAATGTAAATATTAATAGAGTTTTAAAATATACACATTAGTATAAATCACAGAATTCTCAGTAAGCCCCTGCAAATGACTTCTAATACAAGCATCCTGGTTTTTTGGAAAAGCTATATGAGGCTAGCATTAGAACTGGCCTCTAACTTACTTTGTCATCACAGAAAGCTTCCCTAATATAGCCTTCTATTTGATTATTTGCATTTATTAATACGGTGTTCTGTTGCTTACTGTTTATTCTGTTTTAAATTAAGTAGAAAAGCTTTGTCAGGTCTTGATACTGAAGCTCAGAGGAACCCCCCTTTTCATCGTGCTACTACACATCTGGACCATTCCACGCCAGCAACAGAAGGCAAGCAGTTTAGATCATCCTTTTGGATGACTTTAGACCTGAATTGGCTGCTTGAGTTGAGGGGAAAGGGCAGCCATAAATGTTGGCAAGGGGACCAGTGATGAAATGTGTAGTGCAACATTGCAACACTTGACTTAGATACTTGTGTCCTATATGCCAAAGTTTGCATTGTGACAGTGTGATGCATGCATAAGATTCCTCCTTACAGATATCATAATCATATCAATGAAATTATTCATGTTGTTCACATAGCAAAATAAGTTTAACTTTGGTAAAGAATGTATTGCACAGATTCCAAATACTTTCCTGGGATGGAGGACCACAGCTTTTTTCTATGGCTTCAGAACTTTGGGAAGTTCAGGTTCCCAAAAATTCATATTGTACTTCTGATACTGTATACCCTCATATCATCAAACCCAAAACTAATCTCCATTCACTAAATAGATATTAGATCACTTAATGTGCTGGATGATCCTGGATTAGGGAGTTGTATATTAACTCCCAAATGCTATTCTTCAAATCTTTTTGTAGTTTATTTGGTTGGTTAATTCATATCCCATCTTACCTCCAGCTACCCAAGGCAATATACAGAGCCTACTGTATTGCCACCTATTTTTTCGCATTGCTGGACTGGCTGGGTGAAAGATAGTGAGACTGGCCCAAAGCCACCCAGTCAGCTCTCATGGTGGAAGGTGAATTAAATTTGGGTTTCTCAATCCTAGTACAATACTTCAATTATGCTATCAACTGTCAGGAAAGAAATAAGCAAAAAATTGTGTAATATTTTTGTTTACATCCACAGACTCTGCTCTGCACAATATAAATACAGTATCTCTTATATATGTAGATAAGCATATTTATTTGCATTCAGGGAGGTGTGATGGATATACAGTATTTCTATTCTAGAAGTGGCTTTCAGCTTTGTAATAAATGAGTTTTTCATCACATTTTATCTAAGCATTACTTTAAAAAAAGAATATATTAAAAAATAAGAATCTGCTTTTCATATTCCTACCTTTTCTGATAAGCAGAATTCAGATTCGGGGATGGGGATTTTTCTTTTTTACTTCTTTTATGATCCACATTTTGGAATGTAAGGGTTGTCCCCATTGCTTTCAAACAAATAGTCTTCAGTGTTTTTACAGCAGCGATTGCTACAGAAACTACAATTCTTGCACTTTTTATCTTGGGAGGATGGACAAAATAAAATAAACTGATAATAATGCTACAATGAATGATAAAATGATGAAAAGATCTACAGCACAAAAAACAGTGTGAAAAGGAAGACAAGTTTAAATATTGTTGCATAAGAAAGGGATGAAAATAAGACAAGGATGAGAATAAGTAAAATGATAGGCTGGAACATCTGGGAAAGTAAATACAAAGACAAGATAATACTACATTAATCTCACAACAAAATTAACATTTCAAGAGAAAAAAGATATGCAAGTGGAGGCTTATAGTGCTAAGCTTTGTTTGCCAAGTCCAACTAGCTTCAGTGTGGATCTGTTTTTTAGAAGAAAAGAAGTAATGTTGTAATTGCTTGTTTCCAAAATTCTCCTTAAAACATTACTATCTTGGGCCTAGACTGACTACACAGTACTTCCATGCTAAGAGGAGATTTCATTACCATCTACTTAACTTGCACAGAGAAAACAGCATTATATTGACAGAGCTATTTCCAGTTTTTTCTTATGTAATGGGATTTCTTCCCGCTCTACTTGCTCTGCCTTGCCCCTAGATCCTGCCCAAATCTACCCCAGATAATCTCCCAACTCTAAGCCATTCTACAGTGCTGTCTGTTTCACTGATGGACCACCAACACTTGATACATCACTTATTCTACTGACAGGGAGAATAAAACACTTCTTCATTAAAAACCCCATTGTGAGCTTTTAAACCACCATCAAACGGAAACCGCTCAATCTGGGGATACATTAAGCCTGAATTTGCAACCACTTACCTCATGGATGCTATAATATATATAACCTGTTCCAATTCCATTAGCAGCAGGGCGGGGGGGGGTGTTAAAAAAAGTCCAGATGACTGTCTCAGCGGTGCAAACCCCTGCCCCTTTTGTATATGTATTGATGTTACATTCATATACAAAGGAATGGGGCTCTGATCACTGCTGAGACCTCCATCCTGACTTTTTTTTACCTCCCCCTGTGGATGATGCTAGATCCCATGGTATTCTACTATTTTTGAGAAAGGAAGTCAGAATGGGGCACTTGTTTCATCTCATATCATAAATGCACTTAGATTCACTGTGCTATTACACACAAAAGCTTTATATATAAATAATGGGATGTGACTATTAAAATAATGAAAAACTAACAACTAACAGTTGTATCATGTCTTAAGGCAGGAGGGGGAAACTTGTGGGGGGGGGGGAAAGTGACACTATCACACAATCTCATAATATGGCCTGAATCCCAATCTCCTTCCCCATTCTTTTTGCCATCCCTGTATATTACTTCTAAACATTTTTTTTAAGTTGGCTTTTATATCTTTTAATATATTTGTTGATTGTTTTTAGCCTTCTTGTATGCCACCCAGAGTCACTTGCTGGTGAGATGGGCAGCTCTATAAATTGTACAAACAAATAAACAAACATGGGTGGTCATTGATAGGCCTGTCCTCCATTAAACTGCCTAGGACTTCTTTAAAAATACAGCTAAGCGAGCATTATATCTTCTGGCAAAAATAAAAAAGTCATGAATAAATTAATGAATTTTTGGGATTCCTTTACATTAAAAAATACAAACAAATTGTAAAAATGGTCAAATTCTCATGACAGCCAAATTTTGTGATACCACACAGGAAACTACTAAGATCAGGCAAGATTTTGGCTTTTTTTTTTTAAATTATTCAATTTAACATTTCTGATAATTTAGAATTTAACAAATCTTTTTTGGGGCATTGTGCCAAATCCTTGTGTCTTAAAAAAAAAAAAAACCTGCTGGCCTCTGCCATATCATTCATTTTTTAAAAATGTATAACACTTCCTATTTTAAAAATCTCAAAGCAGTTTACAACCACTTTGAGTTCCTACAGGAAAAGGTGGAGAATGCATAATTTTAAACACATACAAATATGAAGCTGTCCCTGGATGTTCAATTGCATGTAATCACTTCCGCTACGTTACTGCCTTGATTTTATTGTGCAATGATTCTCTCAACCTCCAATAGATAATTTTTGTCCTAACAGAGGTCATATTTTGGAATTGAACAAGACCTAAAGGAATAGCTCTGCCTACAGATACTCTCTCTCAGCATAATTTTTTAACTGAGCCCTCTCCTTATCAAGTACATCAGCAGTTTACCATGATTATTCCCATGAAAAATGTATACAAAAGATTTCTTTCCGTCTCAATGGCTTTCAATAGTTATTTTTCTTTAGTTATGTTTTGCTTCTGCAGGCTTGGTATAGGCTACATATTTGGAAGGTCCAAAGGCAAGGCTACTTGAGTCCTATCCGTCCCCCACACTTTTAGGTTCCCTCTCCATGACTGTTCCTTCCCCTTCTCTTCCTCCTCTCACTGCATGCTATTTTGTCAGAATGACTGCTGGAAAGCAGTTCTTCCTCTTCTGATAACCATAATTTGCCTACCCTGAATAAGAGGTGAAAAACAAGTGAACCATGGCAAGAGCGAAGAGACTCAACAGTAAAAGCCAGAGAGCTTTTGCTAATGGATCCACAATAAAACCATGGGTCTTGGCAGGTGCCTAAATATGCCAAGCCATGAAACCAACATGGCTGATACAGCCTTAGTAACAAATTAGAATTAGGCTGCAAACCATGACCTAGCCTTTTCCATTAAACCACAGAAACTTCCATTAAGCTGCTCCTTCTGCCATTCCTATTATTCAACACCAGAAAGAAAATGGATATCAAATATTCTTGCAATATCTCAGGCAGAATTTTTTTACCTAGATGGCTTACAAAGTAAAAATCTACCTGACTCACTGACAAAGGTTCATCTGTACTTCGATCATCTGTAGACTTTGGAACTTCTAGTCTGTCAATAAAAGCTTGGAGCTCTTTCCTAAAGGTCTTCATCTGGGCATTGATCCGATAAAGAAGTTCATGCTCCCGTATCCTACTGCCATCATCCTCATCATCCATCAGTCCAAACAGGTCCCCGTTGGCCACATAAATTCTTGCTTCAGTGATGATAGTGCTTGTGTCTGAAATTAAGCGGTCTATTGTCTTGCCCAAGCGTTCTGCTTCACAGCGAATATCCTTCATTTGCTGACGGTCTGTGAAGCTTTTTTGCCACCCTGCAGGTGTTGGATAGAAGGATCTCGTAGGAGTCAAGCAGCGGATGTTGCGGACCTCCTCTGAGTCACTTTCCCCACCAATAGGCCCTTCTCTCTTGCGATGGGGGGGACGTGAATCATCATCACTTTCTTTTTTCCCTGTATCACTTTCAGCATCACTGTCTCTGGGGCTGCCTCGGATCCCCAGATGTGAGGCCAGATCATAGCGCTGCATGTTGGACATCAGGACTCTGTTCTCATATTGAAGTTGCATAACTTTGCCACTGAGTTCATTGATCTGCAGGCGGGCGGCTTTGAGCTCTTCTTGCAATGCCTCTGTCTTGGCACTGTCATGATGCCTTGAAGTATCATGAGTCCCAGTCTTGTATTTATATTTGTTCAGTTCTGCTGTGATGCGCTTATTTTGCTCTTCTACATCAGCCAGGTTTCTTCTCAACAGTTCGGTTTCATCCTCAACTAGCTGCAGATGCTGTCGTAACTCTGAGAGAGATTCATTCTGCTCCCCCATTAGGGGATTGGCTGCCCCTGAGAAATCATCTCCTCTTAAGTCATCGAGTTCTGCCTTCAGCCCTCTGTTTTCTACTTCCAGTTCCACTATTTTCCTTCCCAGGATATTGGCTTCTTCCTCTACTAACCTCAGACGAAGTTTGAGTTCTGCTTCTCTTGTGGTAGGTGGGCCTCCAGCTTCCCCTTTTGGTAAGGGACTATCTAAGTCACCATATAACGACCTATACTTTTGCAGGTCATGTTCAAATCTATCCTTTTCTTTGTCTATTTTGGCCAACTTTTTCCTCATCAGAGCTGCTTCCTCTTTGACAAACTGCAACTGGCATTTCAGATCTTCATTATCCTCCTTATAAAAGGGGGGGAAATCAGTAGTTACTTTATATATAAATAAGAACCCTACTTGGCAACAAAAAAATAAAACCATTGGTATTTATAATAACAAAAGTTCCAAAAACCCATTCCAAGTTTTTTTATGAATTTTAGTAGAGGCAAAATTCATCTGATCCTATTTTCAATACTCAGCATACTGTAAAAGCAAGATATTCCAGCATATCTGCCAGGCAATCAGGATCAGCCTTACAATATGTTCTCAGTTAAAAATCCAAAAGCCTATTCAATAGCATTTAATAACGCTCAACAATATTGAAAACAATTAAAGCAGATTTTATACTTCAACAGGAAGGAATGACTATGGATATATATACCTTTTTGATACACACATTCATGTTTGTTATTTATACATTATGATTTATATGTTATAATTTACCAAAAATATAGGATCAGGAAAGCAGTCATGTAAAATAACTGAGACTTTGACATTTTAATTATTGATCCTTGAGAGAAAGGGCACTATTATCAAATAAACATGTCTGTGATATTTTTTCAAGAAGATAAAGCCATGCTCTTTTTTTCCTCACTGTAGTATCATTTCAGAGAACCTCAAATTATTCATTTTAAATGCAAGAAGCTACAATCTCTGTAATTTAAATAGCAAATTCAGATTTGTATCCACAGAGAATGAAATTAATGTAAGTACGATAAACAGAATTAATGAAGTCATTAATTTCGTGGCCCTTTGGACCACGAATGTCACAAAAATAACAACAATTTTCTTCCTGTTGATTAAGGAAAAATTAAATCTTTGCCTAGCTGTCAGCTAGGGACACAGAGTTTACTGGAATGTACTAGGGGGCAAAATAAGTATCTGAAGTCACCTCAGTGGGAGTCTGCTGTGTCTTTTTTTCTGATTTCTGCAAGTCTTTGCTTCCTCTTCTTTTCATGGACTGCTGTAAAAGAAAAACAAGATGAAATTAACATTTTACTAAATATGATGCAATGCAAATCCAATAAGTACTTGAATTTTTTTGCAGCTGTTTCACAAGCCAGAAAAAAATCACCTTTACCTAACATAACATTAGGTTTATATTAGATACATCATACAAAATAAAATTACATTATTGCTTGTTTAGATGCATTCTGAATAATCAAAATATCTGCAAATAGCCAAAAAAATATTGCAAAAACACTGAATGAGCACAGCCTAAGGAAACTCTTCCATAATGATAGGCTCAAGTGCCAGCAAGTCCCTTTTCAAAAGGAATAGAAAACTTATTCACCTACAGTAAAACCTTGATTTAAAAGACCATGCAGGGGGAAGAGGTATCAGCTAAACTCAAATGTCTTTTAAACCTGAAGGTTCCCTCCTTTTTTTCTTTCCCTTTCAAGTAGACTAAAGGCCTTGAAGGTATGTCATTCTTGGGGCCAACCTTTGGGTCTGCTGAAGGGCCCTTTTTCCTCCAATTGTTTTGTCATTGGTTGGAGCTAGACTCAGAGGTCATGAAAGGAATAGCTACCACTCCCCGTCATATCTCTACTGGTGTACCTCCTCATCCACTAGAACTTCCCAGAACCTTTCTTCCTTCTCTCCTCAGCATTGGCTCCAGTACACGGCCCGTCCCATCTACCCTGCCTTCCCCCCAGTGCTTCGAATTGGGCCTGAAGATCTCCTAGTAATCAGTACAGGGACTTCAAGACTGATGTTACTCTGCATTATTAACAAAAGTTTCTTTCATTCATGGCCTTTCTGTGTTGGAGCCCATTTATTATTTAGACAACTAAAACTCAAAAGCACATTGTCCAAAACACTGACTGACAGGTCTAGTGCCAAAATTTAAACTTATCTTAAAAGGGGGACTTCCAGTCCCATGGTCACAACCGTTTTCTATACAGATATTCATGCCTCTGATTCTGATAAATAAAGAACTAAATATGGCCCTCAGACAGCCAGTTAGCTAGACTCAAATTAGGCATTATGCATTTATCTAAAATACTATAATATAACATTGTCTGTCACATATAGAATGGTTATAAGCTGGCTAGAATCTCGCAGGTTAGTACAAATGCTTTTGCTGGGCTTGGAGTTAGCAAAAGTCAATGTAGATTAAAGTGTTAGCCTAATTCAATCACAGTGACCTATTTTCACCAACCACAATTTCCACATGCATTCAACAATGAACATCAACTAGATAGTGCTACAGTTCTCTGCACTGAAAACTGGGACAGCAAAAACAATGGTTGCAAGGTGAATGATATAACTGAATGTATTTATTTAGTGGATTTATACGGCCACCCACCTCATATACATGACTCTGCATGGCTAAAAATATTAAAAATGATGAAAAAATATACAAAAAAATATAAAGCCCCTAGCAGCTGGAAAAAAAATACAAAGCCACAATAGAACATTGTGAAGAATGGGCTATATCCCACACCTGGGGCCAAGGCTCAGGGACAGGGCCAATCTGATCTCCAGAGGGGTGATATTCCAGAGGGTGGGTGCCATGACAGAAAATGTTCTCCTCCTGGACCCTGCCAGCCAACACTCCTTAGCTGACGGGATTAGTATAAATTACTCCTGGCCTCCAATTTATTTCATCCAGACGTTGCAAATTCATGCAACTGGCTGGTTTTGTTGCATTTACTCCTTCCTTCCTTCCTTCCTCCCTCCCTCCCTCCCTGAGATATTTACCAATGGAGGTGTCAAGTAAACGTTTCTGGAGAAAGGATTTCAAACACAAGATGACACAGCACAGAATTTCTTTAATCTGGTTATTTCATTTCAAAAGATGGCCAAAATAAAAGCAGAGTTTCTATGCCTGAACTTCATATCCAGGGGATTTGCAATGAAAACTTCAAACAGAGATCTATAAGTAAAGACCAGCACTTTGAATTGTATGTGAAATGGACTACTGAGAATAATTGTTTGGAATAAGCAAGTTGTATTGGTTACAGGAAGACAGATTCCAGCTGAGTGTTAGGAAAGATTTTCTATCAATAAGAACAATTCCACAGCGGAATCAGTTACACAGAAAGGTGATAAGCTCTTCTGTGCTGGATGTGTTCAAGCAGAAGCCAGTTAGTTAATTGTCAGGGATGTTTTAACTTGGATGCCTATACTTGGCAGGGTACTAAATTAGGTGGATTAAATGTTCCTTTCCAATTCTTTGATTCCATAATACTTATTTCAAGTCTCAGCTATAGCATTTCTGGTCTGACTTCACATTTAAGAGGTCACTTAAAACCTTTTGTCTTGCCTTTTGCTGTCCTCCACTTTTGACTGGTTCTTAAAGCTTAACAACTCACATCCCTTACATATTTTTGATTTACCTTAAGCTGCTCATAGGTTAGTTCTTGAGTAGAACACAGAGAAAGAGAGAGAGAGAATTGTCCACAGGATCCAGTGCTTTCATCCTTTTGAAAGTACTATTATGCTGTCATCTCCATCTCTTGTGTACATGCATGCAGCGTGATGGTCACACAGAAGGGGTAGAGCAGGGTTCCTCAAACTCAGCAACTTTAAGATGGGTGGACTTCAACTCCCAGAATTCCCCAGCCAGCCAT